CTCCTGCCTGGCACATACGCACCCTCTGGCCTTCCATGGCCACAGGAAATTAAAGATTAAACAGAGGCCCGTGGTCACCACAAACACACCACTCAGCTGGGATCACTACTCAGAGACCAGCAATGGGTGATGGATGATGCTCCAGTAGTACCACAAATGAGAGAAAAAAACCCACCTTGTATCCCCAGGAATCAGTGTAAAACAGGCTGTGCCTTCTCTTATCCCAGTCCAAAAATTTGTCAGGAGCTAAGAAAACATCTCTGCAAAAAGCATCAACAGGAGTCTGGAAGTTTTGCTCTGCCAAAGACTGCTTTTTGAGCAATCTTTTTGCCTCAGTATAGCCTCCACAGAAGCTTGCAGAACACAACTGCTAAGAATTTACGGATGGGAGGAGGTAGACCTGCTTGCTCAGTTGCCTTTCAGAGCCAAGAGCATGAAATATGCTAATCCTGCCCATCTCTGCCAAGCACTGCAGACCCAGAACCACTGAATGCATAATAAAATTTTCACCCAGCTTTAACCAGAAGTGAAATGAGTAGCACAGCCTCAGCTACTGAATTCATGCATGCTGGAAAAAAAGACTTCCTATTATCCAGAATAGTGGACATAAACCAGTGACCTGCATCTATGTTCCATCACTCTCCTCTTCCCCATTGCCCTCAAGCCATCCAGCTTGGCTGAATTTTTCAGAGCCCTTCTACAAGGAAGTCACAAAAGCAGAAAATCATGATGCTGCAAGGAAAAATCCCAGCTGGAGCCAAAAGGCATGGGGCAGGTGGCTTCACAATGACCTGGCTGACCCTCAGCTGCTCTCAAAATTGTTGCCCTGATTATACTAATCCAGTTAAAGGTCAATGCTTCCTTCACATGAATACAGCTGACAGCTCATCCCTCAAAAACATTCCCTGAAAAACCCTTAAGCAGAATCCCTCCTCATCAGACACTGTGCCAGCCATCAACACTTCCTGAACCCTCTTCCACCTTTGACAGACTTCAAATTTCTCTTGTCCACTGTCATGTTGCTGAGCACAGACAGGCACCAAAGGCCCCAACATAAGCCAATAAGCTCAGTCTGTTCCATGAGAGCCTGACACATTGCACTTGAGGGCTGATCCCCCTCCCCAGTCACTTGGAATGTCAGCAGCCAGGAGGTTTTTAAGGCAGGAGTCTCAGCACAGGTCATGTTAAGCTGCAGAGGTCAGCAGGAAGGTCTGTAGCTGGGAGGAAGAGAGACCAATGCTAACAGCAAACTTTTATTAAATTTATGCTAAGGCAAAAGACAGCCAGGCAGGCTGCTTGCCCTGGAGAATGCCTTGCCAAGACAGAAAATATTCCAACCCTTCCTGTTTCCCCAAGGTCACAGTGAGAGCCGTATCTTTTACTACTACGTTTGGGAAACTGGCCTCTGGGGCAGCAGACTACAACCACCAGCATTTGAATGTACAGCTTTGGAGCTCCCAAAAGTCAAATCAGATGCTTAAAACAAAGAGTAGAAACCATAGCATGAGCATTATTGCCATGTCTCTCCAAGCACAGGTGCCACAAGCAGCCTTTGTCAAGGCTGGAGCTCCAGACAGCAGCATGTCTAATGAATGGCACAGATGTATTGCCTTTTATGTCTTTACAGCACTACTAAAAATAAAATTCAGTAAAAACACTTTAGCCACTGCAAATTTCCAGAGCACATTTTCCAGAGCTTCACACTGCTAGGGCAGAGTTCAGGGTCCTTCCCCCCACCTTTCCCATTTCTCCCCTCACAAAGGATTCAAACTAGCAGGAAGGTTAGAAGCCCCTGGTGAGGATGCCAAGCCCTGGGTTTTTCCTGCTGCTGCTAACAACTGCTGGCTCTCAGAGACTGCAGTGGATGAAGGTCTAAGCCTCAGTCCTAGCAGACAGGTATCTCCTTCATGAAGCCATTGACACAAACTTATGCCCTTTGGAAAGGCAACAACAGCAGACATGAGCACAGGTACACCCTCTAAAGGGGGCCAAGGTTTGTACAACTCCAAAAGGCCTCCTCAGAAAGGTCTCCTGTGCAGCTCTGCTTGCCTGCTTGCAGCCACCAATGCCCCTCAAGTCCAAGAGCTCATTTACAACAAGCAGCCAAGAAGAAGGTGCAGCCCTTCCCAAATGCAGCTGCTAGTAATGCATCAGATCACAAGAAATGTGAGATAGAGATCAACTAGGGTCCAAGATAGTTTCTTGTATTGGCTTTAGAAGTAAGTAATTAAAATAATGTTTCTAGGAATTTTTTTATCACCAAAAGGCTCACAAATAAGGTCTCCGGTAAAAAAGATCTACACACAGAGATGACCAGTCTCTTGAGGCAGGTCAGAAGAGCAAACAGCAAAGGCTACTTTGTGAAAAGCAAATACGTCAGAGACACTCATGAGGTGAACAGAAATACAGGCAGAGAAATTCAGGCCACAGATTGCAACTAACACCAAAACCTTCAGCAAATAACTTACAAGAGGTTTACTGACCACAGTGGTCAGAACATCCACTTTACCACTCATGGAAAAATGTTTCTGTAACACCAGGCTGCAGTAGCAAGGTCTAGTTTATAGCTGGAAAAATGTGCTTTGAGAGTGTATTTTACACCCATAAACCCCTGTCCACAAAATAAACTGAACCAGCTGAAGCAGTTTTCACCAGCAAAATGCCATCTATATCAGGCCTTCAGCTGATATAAATGCTTTCAGAGATAACAAAGGAAAGTAAACACAAGAATCAAGACTTCCTGCAGCACCTAGCTACAGCTGTCAGATTTTCACTACCTTTGTTGCACTGAAATGATCTCACTTTTTTAGAAGAGTTTTTTGAGACCACTCCAGAAGAGGATGATAATGCTATTTCGCAGCAGTCCCTGCTACCTGTGGACAGGGAGAACCTGGACATAATACCTCCACTCCTGAAGGAGAGCTGGTGAAGAACAAAGTACTCAAACTGAAACCATGTTCTTCATTGTTAATGAATTACTAAACTGACCTTTACCCCAAAAGAAGAAAGGGAATGTTCTTTTTCCAGAAGGATCAAGAGTGATTTCTCTATCAGGAGCAATAAATATTTCCCTAGGTGTGGAAGGCGATGCATTTCTTTCCTTGGTTGGCATTAACCCAGAGCATGAAAAGACCTAATCCAAAGCATAGCTCAGTTTCAACACTTTCCAAAATAAAAACAACTGATGCCATTGAACCTCGTGACACATGCCTGAGACTTTGCAGAACATGGCTCAAACCTCCTCTACTTTGCACGCTGGAGCTGCTCTGGGATTCTACTTTAATCCCATTGCTATCATGTAACAACAAATCGTTGTAACAGGACACTCTTGAAGCTTAATCCACGCTATACCATAGGTGCAAATTTACCATGGACAGGTTGAGTTATATTGCAACCCTGTAAATATACTTCCATTTCGCATGTAGGCCAACTTAGCTTGGTCCACTTGGTTCACTTCAAAAATGAATAAAGACAAATCAAATCAAGGCTACCTAAATTCTGAATATGAGCATCTACATAGGGATTTAATTCACTTTAATCAACCCACAGGAAAGGTTAATTGGATTCATTTTCTTGAGTAACCATGTGTGGACAGACCCTTAAGATGAAATGTTTACCACACTAAAATGACCAATAACAACTTTGCTAATGACTTAATAGGGACAACATTAACCCTAAAACTTCAACTTCCCTTCCAGTAGCACTGAGTGAAGCATTGAAGGAAGACAAGAGGTCAAAAGGAGCACCCAGCTGCCTGCACAGACATATGTTTTCTACTCTTGACCAGCTGAATCATCAAATTTCAACTTGCTATTTTGTAAGAATTGAAATTAGGAAAAAAAAATACCAGTGGCAAGGGAAAAAAGTTTAAAGAGTTTTGGGTTTTTTTAGGCAGGCACACAGTGCTCTCTATTACCAGAGCGTAAATCCAAACTAACTTGATTATAACAGTGCTTCTACTAGTTTATATCACAAATCACTGTCAGAAAGAACAAACTATCTCGTACAAAGCTTTTTAAACCCAAAGCAGCTCCAGGGCACGTTTAACTGAGCTCAAAGGCACACGTGTGAGGCAGATACACTGCTAACAGGGAAGCCAAGGCCAGCCTAGCCCAAAAGGAAGGTGAATCCGTGCTCTGAGCACAGGCCAAGCCAGCGGGATCCCCCGAAAGAGGGGGGCACTGCCCGCCCTGTGCTCCGGCAAGCACGGGGGGTCTGCAGGGCAGGGTAGGAGCTCCAGAGCTCAATGCAGGGCAATCTTCAATAAAAAAGAGTGGGCTTAAGTATTTATAACCGGGACCTCAACATCACCAGTCTCCCTCAAATTTGTGGATATTCACAGTTCCGCTCCCATTTTTCCAACGCCCCGAGCGGAACCTCCAAACACAGCCGAGCCCTAACTGCGAGGGACATCTCCGCACGTCCGTTCCCCGTAGGGTGTCCCGGCTGTCTCGGCCCCGCGGGAGCGCAGCCCGGTGCCCCCATTCCGGCTGCCCGGGCGCGGCGGGGGGAGCGCGGCAGAGGCGCCGGCGGCGGCCTCGGCGCAGACAAAGGGCTGCGCCCTCCCCCAGCGCCGCTCCTCGTCTGCTCCCGGGGAAAAGCGGCGTTCCCAACCCGCCCCCCGCCGCTCACCCCGGGAGGGCAGAGTCGGGAGCGGGGCCACGCGAGCGCTGCTGCTGCCACCCCGGCCCCCGCCTTCCCTCCGCTCCCGCGACCCGCACGGACCCCTGGACATCCCGCCCGGGGAACCGGGACGTTCCCGCAAGCCCCGGGCAGCCCCGAGCAGCGGCCGGAGCGCCCCCGTCCCCTCCCGCTGACCCGGCGCCTCGGCACCGCCCCGGCGCTGGTAAATTGTCAAACAGTAACACTGGGGGAGGAAACAAAACAAAACAAAAGAAACAAACAAAAACCCCAAACAAAAACCCTTAGTTTTTGCCCCAATTTCCCCCAAACCGCCCCGTCCCATCTAGCGCCCCTGTGTCCCCCGGGGTGACCCGCACCTTCCTTGACTCCGGGCAGCTTGGAGTGGTCGATGCCGATGCCGGCCATGGCCTCGCCCCCGCCCGGCGAGGGCGGCGGAGCCCCCGCGCCCCGCACCGCCAAGTTGCGAGCGGATGGAGCCGGCGCGGCCGGGCCGTACGGCGCGGGAGAGCGGACAGAAAGCGCCGGGCGGGGCGGAGCGGGGCCGCCTCGCCCTCCCTCGACCCTTCCGGGGAGGCGGGCGGGGGCGTCCCGGCCGGCTTCCCCCTCCCCTTCGCCGGCGGGGCTCGAGGAGGAGCTCAGCGATTCGGGAAGGCTGCGAAGGCGTTTATTTATAGTTCACTTTTTTTTTTCTTTTTGCTGCTTTGAGGAGGCGTCTGGAGATCCCCTCCTAGTGTCGGGGCGGCTCGTCAGACCGCTCGACAGCTCAGGTCCCCCGTGCCGGATCTGGCTGCCTCTGCCCCATCATCCCCATCCCAAAGCCATCCCACGCTCTCGTTCGCTGCTGGCCCACCGGCCTGGGAAACGCAGACGTGTCCCGGTCGAGCCTCAGAGAAAACTGCTCAGCGATGTCACAGCCCCTGCAACTCGTCTCTCAGGGCGAGGGGGTGGTCAGTTTGTGTTTTGGGACAGGCACCTTTCGATCAGGGCAGTGCGGGCGACAGATTCCCCGTCAAGGAGCCCCTTGAGAGGCCTTTAAACCCCAGTAGTGCTCTGCCAAGTGCGGGTTAGTACCAGCCTTCAGCAGAGACAGTGAGGACTCACAGCCGCAGCCCACCTTTGTTTGCCAGCAGCAGAGGAACAGCATGAGATGATGTCCCGTGGGCAAAGGAGAGGAGATAAGAGGAAGAGGATTTGGGGTTTAGGGATGTCTGAGCTTCTCTGGGCTGTGTTCAGCAAAACCATTCACTCATGTCAACTGTTCAGTGCTTTGATCATAACTGTGTAGCTGAGGACTCTGCAAGCTGAAGATGGTCAGTATTGCCACCTTTGAAATGAGTGGCCTTCAGCTCCTATTCTAATGACCCATGGCCTCTGTGCCACTGGGGAGTAGGGGGATACACGGGCGGAGCCCATCTTCTGCTCCACCTCTCAAACAGGCTCCAGGAAACTGTACCTTGGGCAACTGCAACGAGAGATGAGAGTGAGATAGAGTGGGATGTCAGATCTCAGAAAAATACATCAAAGGCAATAATATTTCAATTTTATTAAAAAGCAAAACCATTAAAGAAACTGATTTAAAAAAAAAAAAAGAAAGAAATATTTCCAGAGGATTAGCCTTGTGCTACTCCAGAATTTTCCAGTCCTGTTTTCTGAAACTTTGTCTGTCCTTAATTCTGTTCCTTTCAAATGATGCTTCAAAAATAGGTATGCATAGACTGTCTTTAATCTGACTGCCTTTACCTTCCCTTCAACCACGCAGCCTTCTCCAGAGAGAAAATCACTGAATTAGAGAATCACAGAATATGCTGGGTTGGAAGGGACCCACAAAGATCGAGTCCAACTCCTGGTCCTTCACAGGACCACCCACAAGAGTCACACCATGCGCCCAAGAGTATCATCCAGATGCTTCTTGAACTCTGTCAGGCTTGGTGCTGTGACCATGGCCTTGTTGAGCCTGCTCCAGGACCCAACCACCCTCTGGGTGAAGAACCTTTTTCTAATATCCAAACTAAACCTCCCCTGACACCCATTCTCTTGGGTCCTGTCACCGGTCAACAGAGAAGAAATGACTGCCTGCCCCTCCTCTTCCCCTCACGAGGAAGTTGTAAGTAAGTAATGGCCAGTCTTCGTGAACGAAGAACCGGGGAAGGTCTTTCCACCTTCCAGCCTGCACATTGGATTTTTTAGGTGAGACACAGTGTGCGCGGAACTGAGCCCACCCTTTAATCCTGAGGTTCATCTGCCGGGGCCAAGCGAGCTTGGACGGTGGCAGCGAGGTCCTCAGGACGTAGATGGATTGCCTTACAGGGCTAACGAGCTCCATCTGCCCGGGGAGGGGCCC